CATCGCTTGGAGAAGTGTTATAGAGGACTTTGTTCTTCCTGAAAAATTTGAGAATGTGGATCAATTTAAGAACGAAGAAGAATCCAGGAGGACCAGTCGAAAAGCCTATTTCAGCATTTTGTTCCCACAGCTACTAACCAGATGTCTCTCAAAAACCCAAAATCAGGGCATAAGCAGAATAGCACCATGCTGCTCATGTTCCCTAGCAACTGGTATTTTCAAAGGCATACTCCCCTCTGATCCTGGAGGTAATATATAGCCATCATGACTAGTAGTTACTGATAGCCTTATCCTCTGTAAATTTATCTAATCCTCTTTTAAAGCCATCCAGGTTGGCAACTATCACTACATCTTATGGCATTGTATTCCACAGTTTAATGGTTCCTTTTGTCTCTTCTGAATCTCCCACTGTTCAGCTTCACTGAATGACTTAGGCTCAAGTATTTTGGAAACAAGTGAGGGGAAATCCTTTTTCTTGGTTTATTGCCATAGCAGTTCAGTCTAAAAGATCCCTGCAACACTGAATGCCTTGTTGTGAAGAATCATTGGGGTGGAGGAGAGTTAGTGCCTCCCAGCCAAGCAATTTCATCTTTTCTCCCCACATTGCTGCTTGTTTTTCTGCAGCAGAAGTCATTCTTCAGCACACCCAATGTCAAACTTCGTGTCATTGCTGTTCTTTAACTTCACTAATCCAATCTTCACTTGACTTTCCAAGTTTGGACGTCAATACTTTGACTGCATCCAAAATGATTTTGCAAAAAGGAATTATCTAGACTTGTCCATTGACAAATGTCCATCCAATCTTAACAGAGACATTAAAGCCCTCTGGGCATCGTCATTTTTAGCTGCCTCTATTCCAGGAAAACTTCAGTAAGATAAATGGAGGTATACCTTTGGCAATTCTAGCACCCTAATAGTTGTGCAGACACAACAATTTCTGTTGGATATCAGCGGTCTATATCAGATATCGAAAAACTATACTATAAATATTTGCGTTCTGCAAAAGAAGCTTCATTTTGACTCCTGAATTTGGCTTCTCATTTGCATAAGTTTTTTTTTTTACGTTTATCTTAATCTGGAGTTCTCTGTATATCCCAATAATATGGTTGCACAATATGCCCTGCCCAAGGAAGTTGTTGTTTCACTGCTGAAAAAAATATGTACTTAAAGGAGATATCCTATTTGGGGGACACATCTTAATGGAGCCCCCGGTGGCGCACTGAGCTGCTGAGCTTGATGATCGAAAGGTCGCAGGTTCGATTCCAGGGAGCGGCATGAGCTTCCGCTGTCAGCCCTAGCTTCTGCCAACCTAGCAGTTTGAAAACATGCAAATGTGAGTAGATCAATAGGTACCGCTCCGGTGGGAAGGTAACGGCACTCCATGCAGTCATGCCGGCCACATGACCTTGGAGGTGTCTACGGACAACGCTGGCTCTTCGGCTTAGAAATGGAGATGAGCACCACACCCCAGAGTCAGACATGACTGGACTTAATGTCAGGGGACTACCTTTACCTTTACCTTATCTTAATCTACCCAAGGCCATTATAACTGAGAAGATGACAGCTACTTATTTCAGGATCACAAATGGGCATTTCTAAAATCTGTTTCAGTAAATACAAGATCCTTTCAAAATATATATCAAATATATTCTTTAAAAGGTGTACTTTTAAAGTTTCCATTGGAAACATGGCTTTGTTCATGTTTTGGATTATGTTCCTGTAAAATTAATCTCAGTCAGTTTGCATGAATCTTATCCCAGAACAGAATAGAAATTGGTTCTAAGATGGTAAAGCAAGGTGTCTTGATCTTGTTTTTATTTCACAAGATGCAAAAGATTGAGGATAAGAGTGTTTGGACATTCATTCTTAATATAGAACTGAATATATTTGCAGCAATCCTCGATCTCTATTAGGTTAGTTGTCTTTCAAAGAGATATTGAAATTCATGCCATGCACAGTAAATAAATTAATGCAGTAGGTGTTTTTTAAATTGACACTGAGCTTGAGAAACTTCGAAAGTGAGTGGATATTTATCATTCTTTAGATGGATAACTTGGAGTACATAGATTTGTATACTTCACCCATTCCAGCTATGGAACTGTACAAAGCACTTGAAGACTACATACTTGATTATGTGTTTGTCACAAAATGAAATATACTGCACCTAAAAAGCTGGCAGTTCAGAATCTGCATTACGTTACATTGAAGATTCACCAAGGTGATAGGCAACTCCATATAGTTCTGTGATTCTCTTGACAGACTGTGCTCTTTGGAGATAGTTTGTCCTTGGCTGACTCGGGAAGTAGAAGTTGTAAAAATGTACTACATAGCAACTTGTCACTCCCGTTACATTTTGAGAATGGGTGGGGAGGTGATTTGATTTGTGAAGAATAGGAGAAGATTTGATGGTAATTTGTCCAAAGTCGTCACATATCAGGGCTGAAACGTATCACCTTTAGGTAAAAAACTGTAATTACTGTAGAATATTGATTTCCTATTCAGTTTGTTAGTAGCAAGCTTGAAATCATGCAGTACTTTTGGAATAGGACTATTTGTGTGTGTTTTGTGTGTGTGTGTGTGTGTGTTCATGGGGGGAAATCCCACTGAAAACAGAGTTTGGTTAGTGCTTTTTGTTCTTAGGATCCCTAAGGTTTAGTGACATTGCAATAGAGAATGGTAGGCTTTACATACTTACGTAAGAAAGAGGAAAAGAGAGAAGAGAAAGAGGTCTATTGTACCAAGTACAATAGAACTAGCCCCCACTTTAGGGGACTTACAGACTAAATGCTATTTCCCCCACCCTCACAAAAACTGATTTTTTAAAAAATGCATATTATTAAAGTTAAATTATTCTATCTTTTCTGATTCTGCATTCCCCCTGCCTATTCTTACTCTATCTCCCTCACTTTTTTTGGAATGTTCCCTCATTTTTGTGAGGGTACCATGGACTGCATTGGGTGAAGAGTTGAGGACCATTCTGGGGAGGCCCTGCTCTCGGTCCCACTACCATCACAGACACGTTTGGTGGGGATGAGAGGCAGGGCCTTCTCAGTGATCCCCCCCCCCCGGTTATGGAACTCCCTTCCTGTCAATATTAGATCATCCCCCTCCTCCTGTCCTTCAGAAGGGTGGTGAAGACCTGACTTTGGGACCAAGCCTTTGGGGCAGTGTAATGAGACAAAATGGACTCCTGGGATGGTTTTTAAGCAACTTTTAATGTGGATAGAAGTGATTTTAATGTTTGTATATATTTATGGTTTTATGTCCTGGCATTGAATGTTTGCCGTATATATGTTGTGCTTTGCCCTGAGTCCCCTGCAGGGTGAGAAGGGCGGAATATAAATGTTTTAAATAAAATAATTTTTTGTACACTAAACTGGGCTAAATTACACTAGCAGTTGCACTTGCAAAGGAAGTTAGATTTATTGCAACTGTAAGGAGAAGGTGTCTGCTAGCTATAAGCAGCCTTTCTCTCTAATGATCCTCCAAAAATCTCCACCACGAAAGCTAAGATCTTCTGGGGAGGCCCTGCTCTCGGTCCCACCAGCAGCACAGGCGCATTTGGCGGGGACAAGAGACAGGGCCTTTTCAGTGATTGCCCCCTCCTCCCGGCCATCAAACTCCCTTCCTGACAATATTAGATCAGCACCCTCCTTCCTGTCCTTCAGAAGGATGGAAGACCTGGTGGTGGGACCAAATCTTTGGGGCAGTGCAGTGAGGCAATGATAGAATGGTGTCCTGAAATGGATTTTTAAGCAACTGATTTTAAAGTGGATCTAAGTGATTTTAGTGTTTGTGTATATTTATGGTTTTTTGTCCTGGCATTGAATGTTTGCTGTATATATGTTGTGCTCGACCCTGAGTCCCCTGCAGAATATGAGAAGGGCAGAATATAAATGTTTCATATAAAATTTCAAATAAAAAGGAATGGCCTCAACAATTGCTGGTGTCATAGACAGGCAGTTCCCCCTCTGCATAACTGTCAAGCCTAAGAGATTCTCTGAGGAGGTAGAGTGAGGAGACAACTCAGAGGAGGAGGAAGTGGCTGGTCCTTGTCCTGAGGAGAAGAGGAAGGTTAGTGCACTACATTGGTGAGCATTCCCTAATTTCTCTCTCCAGTAGCCCAGACTAGCTGCATCTTGCTTCTCTGAATTGACTCCTCCACTTCTCCATCAGTAAGAAGCATCCATCGAAGGTTGATAGTTAACAGGATGGTGATGTATGAATTGTGCAGATGGAGTTCTATTCTGCTCCTTTTTGGTGTGGGATCTCAGCCAGTATGTCCTGCACCCTTAAACTGGTCTATTGCCTTAAGGTATAATAGCAAATTCTGGTCCATCCTCGCCATTGAAGCAAGATTCACCTGGAAATCCAATCAGCTTCTGTATGTGGAATTCAGGAGGGGGTGTCATCTTGTTCTTCAGCTTAGGTGGTAAAATAGCTCATGCCACCCCTGCTGTATTCCCTTTGAGGGAATACAAAGAAAATGAATTGGTCAGTTAGCTTGTGTCTAACCATTTAAAGCTGACACTCTTTACTTGGAACACTTACTTGATTACTTTTGTCTTGGTGAATCCATGCAGTTGAATTTTAAAGAGCAAACTTGCGAGAGAATACTGAGAGGGTAACAAAAGAATGACAAGAGTTGAAAGTGATTCAGTGAACAAAGAGAAAGTTAAGTGGTTTGTGATGGGTGTCTAGGTGCTTTTAGGAGAATTAATTATTCTTACCTGATTCTATGTGAACAAGGGAGAAATGCATTAAAAGTTGAGATATATTTGGGATATACTTTTGCTTTCTTTTATGTATATGTTATTCTTTTAAAAGGCAAGATCATTAGTCATTTCTGGTCTTTATTAGATTTTTTGCTTGATGTGGTTACTGTCCTCTGAACGACCATCGCTGCCTTCCATTTTTTGAAAGAGGGCAAGAAGGCTGATAACTGCCATGTCTCTAAAACTGTTTCATTGTTTTTACACATCTTCTCTTTTTTTTCACAGCTCGGAAGTCCAAAAAGCTGGGCAAGTTAAAAGGAATCCACGAAGAACCGCAGCAGCAGCAGCAACCACCTCCCCAAAGTCCAGAAGAAGGCACTACCTATATTGCTCCATCCAAGGAACCTTCTGTAAACACAGCCCTCGTTCCTCACTTGTCTGCCGTTTCACCAGCATTAACTCCCTCGCCTGCCATGGTCCTAGAGAACATTGAACCTGAAATTGTATATGCAGGATATGATAGCTCAAAGCCAGATACAGCAGAACATCTACTCTCCACTTTAAACCGTCTTGCTGGAAAGCAGATGATTCAGGTGGTAAAATGGGCAAAGATACTTCCAGGTAAGAATATACGGTATTACAACCTTACACCGTACTTGAAAAAGTATGTTTCAACTATAATTCCCAGGACAGTAGACTAAAGAACTTTTGAGTGTATACTTCAGGAGTTTAATATGATTTGAATTGTCCAGCCTCTGAATTTATAACATATTGGGTTTAATGTAAAAAAAAAAAAAAGGCTTTATCTTTTTGCAAAAGACTGGATGATAATGCTTCCTCTGTATCAAGATTTAATTAGTAGCTTCCTGTTTTAACCAGTAGTCCACTGTTTGCCTGGAATGGAAATTGAACTAGGTAACTATCTTGAATAAACAGTGAATAAATATATTTTCCATGAACTGTTGCCTAAATAAAATTTTATATTGATTTAGAATATATTAATATTTAGCAATCAACTTTAAGAAAAAAGGAGCCTCTTTTATAATAACATCGTCATCCTTTTCTGTAAGAATCTTGCATCCTATTTTTATACGTCTTTGAAGCTCCCTAGTTTTCCATTATTAATCTGAATTATGGGTCATTATGTCTCTGTTCTTGAATCTGTAGCAGTTGTCAGCATTTAGCTCCGGATACTGTGAAATCAATAAAGACTGCACCTCCTCTAAAAAGGCCAAACAGATTTCCCATGTTATTGAGTATGCTAGACCTCACTCCCTTGACATCAGGGATAAGGGTGCAGAGTATCTCACTAGACTAGTGATTCCCAGCCTGTGGTCCATGGACCACCAGTGGTCCACAAGAATGAAAATATGGTTCGCAGCCTTATCATTACTACACTGTTGCCTCAAAACCATGTGGCAATGGTCTCGTAAAACCCTCTTATAGTGCCGAGGCAATGGGGATGTCGGGAGCGGAGAGGCTGACTACCCACAAAAGATTACTAATACCACATCAGTTCTAGATAATTAAATATGGTTTTCTGTGGATATACTGGGTGGCATATCAGAAACTAGAACTGATGTGGTCTATCCAATGCAATTTTCTGAATCGGCACCTCAAATAACCACACCGAATCTAAAGTTGACCAAAAACTGATTCGTAATCCTTTTGGCACCAATGTTGGAGAGTGGTCCCTGGTCAAAAAAAGGTGGGGAGCCACTGCACTAGACCTTAAGTAGATCAGTAATTAACAAACATTAATAAGATTAAGCCCTTGTTTCCCTTGCCAAGCTTTCTGGAATGCAAGATACAAACATGAAAGAGGCACGTGCTAGGACAAACAGAGGCATTTCAGCTTAAGAGAGCATTACATCTAAGTACTGCTAGGCATATTGTCTACTTTATTGTAAATTAAGAGTATTTCTGTCAGATTTTCTTTTCATAAATTAATTGCTTCTGGGTCTTCACTGTTAAGAAATGATTTTAATAACTTGTGTAATGCAAAGGCATTGGGATTTATGCCTCAAACTTAGACGATGGCAAGGTAGTTAATGTGCAATACCATTGATGTTTGTATGTTGTTTTTTGAAAATTGGTTCTTGTATTCTCCAGGTTTCAGAAACTTGCCTCTTGAGGACCAAATTACTCTAATCCAGTATTCTTGGATGTGCTTATCATCATTTGCCTTGAGCTGGAGATCATACAGGCATACAAACAGCCAGTTCCTCTATTTCGCTCCTGATTTAGTCTTTAATGAGTAAGTTACCTGTTAAATTTTTGGGTTTTTTTTTAAGAAAGAGGAAGTAGAGCACTGTGAAACCTGATGTGCAAAGGTAGAAGTCTTGTGAAAGGGTTATAACCACTGAAGAATGAGCACATTGAAAGGACTTTTTGACAACCATTCCCCCTATCACCAATCCATTTGATTTGTATCTGACATTTTAGAGAGCAGTGTTTTCAAAGCACCAGCATTCAGCTGTTTTTGGCATACTTTAGCTGACATGCAAACTGGATTAACAGGAAATATTCTGTTTTGGTATCCATGGTTGCTTGGAAAAGCTATCTGCTTTGTAGGATATGTGAATATCTAAACCGCTAGTTTTTCCCTTCCATTCACAGAAATAGTTCTTTTGTCAGTAGTATACAACTGATGTTTTCATTACTATTTTAATTACCTTGCTTTGCAGCCTTGAAAGCAGCTGAAAGGCCTCAATGAAACATTCAAAGATTTTATTACTTTTGTGATAATTGAAAAAATTGCTCGTTTTAAATTGAAGTGTAAAGCCTTGTCCACTTGGAGTCCATAGACTGAAACAATATTGTTCTAAAGTCATATTGGCAGCGATCCGTTCTTACTGTTGCCATGCAAAACAGCAGCATGCAAGTTCCGCTGAAAATGTGTAATTTGTTATTTTTATTACATTCTAAAGCAGGATTGGCTTCTATACAGACTGCCAGAGTTGTTGGACTGCAACTTCCAGCAGTCCCAACAAACGTAGCCAATTTCTCCTGCTATTTGTTATTGTTTGTAAAAGAAAATTTGGAGAGGGGGGGGGGCAGATTGTGGGATTGTGTTATCTACTTAAAACAATTGATACATCTACCAAAAATCAGATTCTTTGCTTTTAAATAAAGATTCTAGTATCACCAGAAGACCTGCAACTGTCTTAATGGCATTAGCTAAATCACATGCAAGTTATTATAAGACATTCTCTAAAAATTGGAAGTTTCATTTTGTCTATTTTACTTCTGATTGGTTAACTAGTAGTGCAGGTTAAGAATGTTGGAAATAGCAACCTCCCAAGTCTCCACTAACTGTTTATAAATGTATATAATTGTTAAGCTATGCTGTTGTTGTTTATTTGTTCAGCCGCTTCCGACTCTTCGTGACCTCACGGACCAGCTAAGCTATAAGCTATATTGTTAAGCTATATTGTATATATATATATATTGGTATGGCAGTTTGTGCCTCTTTGGTGTGGGAGGGGCTTTGAACACAGGACTCCATATTATATTCAGTTTGCATCAGACCTCAGTGGATGTGGATGCATGTTGCTGTTTGGACTTTAGTAGAACAGTATGCTTGTAGACCTCAATGGAGGTGGATGCAGTTTGTCTCCTTTCAGACTTCAGTGAGTATAGTTATACAGTTTGTACTATATCTATATGCTTAAAGACATTGGTCTATGGACTAGTATACTGAATATATACAAGAAGATATGTTATTTTTCAAAGAAGACTTTGTTTTTATCTCTGAGTGCATATTTTAACTAAGAGGTTTCAAGGGAGTGCATATATTTTTGGGCAATTGCAACCCCAAATTCAGCCTCAAAGAAACAACCATCTTTTGCTAACCGAATATATTTTTGTAGTGGCATGACTTTATCCTTGGCAGTTTAAAAACATGGTTCTTCTGATTAACAGCTGAGTTACCTGTGTGCTATTACATTAATGCTTATGAATTAATGCTTTGAACAAGTCAACTTGTTCAAAGAGTTGACTTCTAACAAGGTCATGCTTTTCTTGACTAGACGTTTTCAAAATGTGGTCTCTATGTTCACGGAGATTCACATTTGCCAAATGGGTGTGACATCATTTTTACCTTTTCAATAAGGTTATGGTGCATTTATTTCCACTAGGTTATGGAATTTCCAATAGAGAAATCCTTATTTGAAATGCTTGGGACCAGAAGTATTTCAAATTTCAGAATACAGTACCTGTATTTGCATATATGTACATAATGAGACATCTTGGAGATAGGACCCAAGCCTACATTTGAAATTCATTTTCATGTCACATGCACCTTGTTCATATAGTCAAAAGGTAGTTTTATACACAATATATATTAATATTTTTGTGTACATTGAACCGTTAGAAAGCAAAGCTATCACAATTTTTCACCTAAATGAAAAAGATGACCACTGGATTCACTGAGTTAAACTAGAGGTTTCTTTGGAGGAGTTATCTGCACAACTTGTCAGTAGTAAGAAGCCAAAATGAAAATCACCAAAGCCTCTTTGGGCTGCAGATAGGTTTTTAGCACCACACTTTCCAGGTAAAGGCTCTGGCATAGCATGAGGTGAAGTGACTGGGCTTCCCCTTTGCTGGTCCCCTGCCTGCCTTGGAGTCTGTCACAAAAAGTTAATATCATTGGATTTGATTTAATGAGTAACTGTTGAAATCAAACTAGATGAAAGATTGCATATTCACACCTGGATTTCCTACATTTAAATTGCATTTTAAAAAAACTGTCTAAATCGATTAATAGACATATGGAAACTATAAGTGCTGGGATAACTGGGTTTCCTTTATTCTGCCACACCAGTGTAGGCGGAGGGTAGAAAAACTTTGCTGCAGAATGGTGCAAGTGGGAGAATGCACCCCCCTTCTTCTAATGTGATACTTCTTAAGCCCAGGTGACATGCAACCTTGCCTATCATATGTACTCCTGTATAAGTTGATTTCTTGTATAAGTAATTTTAGCGCCCAAATCTGCCCATGGCTTATATATGAGGTTTACTTCTACATGAGTATATACATGCGAACTGGAATATTCCTTGATAAATTCTTACTCCCCAGACTGCTGTGTAGATTCCCCTCATTGCAGAAAACCAGTATTTACTCAACTAAGTAGTGTACTTTTCCCCCTACATGTCCCTTTCCTTGCTCTTGCAGGTTAGGAGCAAAGAGAAGATTGCTAAGGGAGCAAATGTGTGCAAAGCCTGCAAGCATATACCTTATTTCATTTCATTGAAGCATTCTGGATACAAAAGTCAGCATAGCTTGTTTTTGAACGCATGCATAAATCCAGACTGCCATGAGATACAAAAGAGATGGATACATTAGAAGAATTTAACATCATGTTTCAGAAGATTTGCAGGGTTCATTTACTGCAGTAGGTCTTAGTTCCAAATAATGTATTTAGGACTGGAATATAAATCTATTTGAAACTTAAATATTCATTACTGGGTTGTGGATTAACTCCTAATCACTGAATTCAGTAGCATAAAAAGTTGAACAAATCCAAATTCTTTCTTCTTGCAGAAAAAATCTATTAAGCTGTGAGTTGTATATTTTAAAAGAAAACGGCCTCTGTTTGGTTTTTATCTCTGTTGTTTTGTGCTGAATGTACTGAAGTTACATGGATTGTTATTATTATGTGTTGTCATGTAACATAGATGTTTTGTTTAAAATCCAGATGGGTTTGAAGTTATGAAACTCTTTTGTCTGTGTCCTTAATGATATTACAGTTTAATATTTTTTGTGGAACTGGCTCATCACAAAAAAATGGGATTTGAGGAGACATTTTTGCTGCTTTACAAATGTTTTCTTTTACAAACTAGCAATCAAGGACATTTTTGATGTTGACAATCTTATATATGAACCAGGTATATAAACATTTGTTGTGTGCCTCTAAGTCATTTCTGACTTATGGTAACCCTAAGGTGAACTATTATGGTGTTTTCTTGGTGGTATACAACCAAAGTATTGGGTTGTTGTGTGTTTTCTGGGCTGCATTGCCATGTTCCAGAAGCATTCTCTCCTGACGTTTCACCTTGGTAATCCTAAGGTGAACTATTGTGGTGTTTTCTTGGCAAGATTTGTTCAGAGTTGATTTGTTCTTGCCTTCCTGTGTTTTTGTGTTTGTCTTGATGCAATTTGTCTGTATGGTTTTCTTTCTGGCAATTGAATAGGTTAAAAGTAAAGAGTTCCTCAACATTAAGTCTAGTCATGTCCGACTCTAGGGGTTGGTGCTCATCTCCATTTCTAAGCCGAAGAGCCGGCATTGTCCGTAGACATCTCCAAGGTCATGTGGCTGGCATGACTGCATGGAACACTATTATCTTCCCGCAGAAGCGGTACTATTGATCTACTCACATTTGCATGTTTTTGAACTACTAGTTTGGCAGTAGCTGAGCCTAACAGTGGGAGCTCATGCCTCTGACCTTTCGGTCAGCAAGTTCAGCAGCTCAGCAGTTTAGCTGCCACCAAGGGGGGCTAGCAATTGAATATATGTTGGAACTGAGTCCCTTCAGGGCGATAGGGCGGTATAGTTAACTGGTAGTATGTTTTTTCAGTGTCAGATTAAAACAATCCACCATAACATAGAAAATTTCAAAACAGTTTAATTGTGAGAGGCATCTATTCAGTTTGAGTATATTATACTAAAGATTTCTAAAAAGGAGGTCACTGGAACTATAGTGTTCTTAAAGAGATTGCTAGGGATTTCATGAGGGATTGTGAATGGAAAAATAGGCAGGGGGCGGGCAGGTTTGAGCTGTAATTGTTTTTACATAGGGGTTACTCGCGACTTGCAGATTATTTCAAGAGTTCCTCCCCTCCAGGGTAAAAAGGACTGAGAATGGTTGTGTTCTACCTTAAAAACAAAATTGGAAAGCAGGCTGGGTTGCTAGTTTGAGGAAGAAATGTTTTGGATTGCTGGGTTCAGCTCCATCTGATCACATAAATTGAAATGGGCAGATATTTGGCAATGCGGAGAACCAGACGTATTTTTAATTAATGTACAGCAAGCACACTTGGTCCTCGTTATAGCTGGGATTTTTAAATGTCTTTTTCCAATTAATTTTATACGTTTTCTAGTTAAATATCATGGTCATGGGTGTCTTTTTATTGTGTTGTGCGCATGTACTCATGCAGTCCTTGCTGAACTTGAGAGCAGTGGTTTTATAATTGCATAACACCCTCTTAAGCTACAGCTACCTCTGTGTGACCTTTTATCTTCTTCGGCTTGTAATT